GGCATCCAGGCTTCTGTCTTACTGCAGTAACTTGTACTATTTCCCAGTGGGAAAGGTTTGGTGTAGGAATTATTATAATTTCCTTCTTATTTCTGCCTAGCTAGTCACAGGGAAAAGAATACCTAGCCTCACCAACCCCACACAGCCAATTTTGCTACTGAAATATAAGGTTTTGTATGAGATCTGCACATGTTAATGACTTTTGATGAAGAGATTTTCTTTTTAAAATCAGAGATTCAGAATTCCTCTCCTTCCTTGTGATACCTATTATTTTCGTGTGGCCCTTTCAGGGAAGAATTTTTCTTAAAAAATTTTCAATCTTTTAATGCAAAGAGTCCCATAGGCAGGCAGAATACATCCTGTCAGAGCCAAATATCAGGCCAGAAGAACCTGTGCTTTGAGTCACTTGACAAATAAACAGAGTTTAAGAAGTTCTACTTTTTCCCTTAAAAATACACAAAACTCACTTAATGTAATTCAAAATAACCCTTTCTTATCATTTCAAATATTTTATTTCAGTTCCTTAAAATTTGTTTCCCTGCCTAATTAGGGGGAAAAATTTTGCTTCCATTTTAAGAAGAAAAATGTATTTAAAGTTTCTAAAAGTAAGGATGGCTGAAACATTGTTTTCCCTCTCGAACTGGCATTCAGAAAAAATATATTTCTATATTCATTTACTTCTGATGTGAGAACAGAAATACCACCTTTGCTCAAAGAAAGTTTTTTGAAATGATACAAATCTATGTGTGCTTGTTTCTAGAATTGATACCCATGTATTCACTGTAGCGGTGGGAATTCCTGCTAGGGGAATCCACATTGAGAGAAGTACACCCACCTTGGGAGCATTTAAAGAAATTTTAATATCCAAACAAAAGCAGTATTATCATCACTACCCACTCCCTCCCTTCGAGGAGCAACAATTAATAATTTGCATATGCTCATAACACAAATTATAAGACAAAGGGCCCCTCACAGGCTGTGGGCAATACACAGCTTTCCACAGGCTGCACAGTCCCAGAGCTGAACTGTTCTAGCTTCCGAATGGATAGCATTAAGCTGCACCACTAAAGCGAGGGGTTCTGGGCCCTCTGGCTCATTCCCACTGTAGAATCGAGTTTCTTCAATCAGAAACATCTCCCAGTCTTTCCGTAAGCTTTAAGGGTGGGGGGAGAACATATAGGTCCAAGTGGGGAAAAATACATATATACTTTGCCCTTTTTATTTTAATAGGCAAACATTGTAATGCTAGATAAATAGAAATTCTTGTCTGTTAATAGGTTCCTTTAGTTTGTAATAAATAGGAATGCTAATGACTAAAATTTGGTATTTGGTATGCACCAGCTTTTGTGAGCTTTTTTTTTTACACTTCTCATTGACATGCAGTATGGCAAGCTTCCTTTGAAACATATTTATAAAATAACTACAGTATAATTAAACCAACAAAGCCATCTTTTAAGTAAGCTTAATAGCTTAGGGTTTTTTTTTCACCTCGGTAAAATTTATTTTAAAAAAGAAAAATAGTTATGTCTCAGTCCCACTGTATATTTTATTCTGTGCATCTAATATTTCCTTTGCATCTACAATCTATGCATATCTAATTCTTTTTGACAACTATGATTATTAATAAAGTACTTGTGAAAGATATGCTTCATAGCTTCTTCAACAAGAATAATGTTTTTTTGTTAATGAAAATTGTAACATATCTTGACAGATACAACATATAAGATGTGCTTTTTTCTTAATTGTTAATATTGCTGTGCTGAATACACAAGGAGCAGATCAACAGCTATGGCAGGTAATAATCAGAGTGGATGCCATTTTATACAATGTAACTAAAAATATTTTAATGATATGAAAGCAATAGATAAATAAAAGCAATTATGTTTAATTTTGCTTTTGGTATGCCGGCAATTTTTGGTTGTTGCTGCTGCCGCCAGTGCGCTTAGAAGAGGAGGAAGCTCGAAGCGCAAAGCAGCCGAACCGAGGCGGCTCTGCCTTCTTGCAGCCCAAGGGTCCTGCAAGCCGCCCTTTCTCTGCTCTCCGCAGCTTCAGCGATCCAAGCGCGCAAGGCCCTGCTGAATGCTAATTTGGGATACACAGGAGCTCATGTTCACCAAGTTTTCCGCAGTTTTGCAAATCCTTTTCCTCCTCCCCATGCCTGGCGGTTTAAGACCACGCCATTTCCCAGAAAGAAAAACTCAAAAGATCCCAGGCGCCGGGCTGAAGTCACTAAGAGTCGGCTCTGGCTGCTCCTCCGCCTCCCCGACCCCTGGTCGCTGCTCGGCTCTGCCCCTCGCGCCTCGCCCCCTTCTCCCGAAACTCCGTCCTCTCCGCGGAGGGCTGCCTTGCCCCCAGCCCACCCCCCGCGTGGAGAATAAACACAGTTGACATCACTCTTACAATCTTTATTTAAAACTGTTTCCAAGGTTACAAATTGCCGAGCCTCGAAGCAACAGGTTCCTCCGAATCGGTATCATTACAGATTAACTGTAATGTGTAGGATTAGAATAAAAGCATAAGGGATTAGGTAAAAGGGCGACGCTTGAGACAGAACGCCCGAGCGCATCTCGACTGAGTCAGCAGGGGGGAGACCGCGAAGGCGCAGGGTGTCGGGGCGCCGTGGCGCCGCCAAGCCAGACTCGGTTCCTCCACTCCCGGAGCGGTCAGGACGGCCGGGCCGGAAGGGCCAACGAGGTCGACCGTTTCGGAGCCAGGCTTCCCGGGCGCCAGCGGCTAGGGACGGGGCCCGGGAACTGAGGAAGATGAGGGGCCGAGAGGTCGTGGAAGCGGAGGGCGCGGGCGAGGACAGCCCAGCTGGGAGCTGCAGAAGGCGCCGCGCCGGGGACGCGGTCTCGGGCGGTGCGAAGCTCGGGGAAGGCGGAGAGGGGGCCTGCACACTCGCACCGGGCACCGGGTTTGTCCGTGTGGCTGACGCTGCCTTCAAGGCCCAGTCCTGATGGGGCCCTTCCTGCCGTCCTCCTCACCCCCACTCTGCCGCGCCTCCCATGTCCGGCTGGGGCAGGGGGCCGGGGACCGCGGCAGGGCACGGGCAGCAGCGCAGGCCGCCCGCATCCTTCCGAGCCCAGGCTTCGGGCCTTCGCAGCCCACCCAGGCCGTGCGCCCTATTGGGCCACCTTCCCACCGGCCTTCGCCTGCCCCTCTCGCGCCAGGAAGGCCCTGGAGCCCCCTCTTCCCTCACACCACTTCCTGCGGGGCCAGGGCTGGCCGCGCTGCCCCATTTAGACTCAGGCCTGCCCTGGGCCGCGGCCTCGGGCCGCTGACGCAGCTCCGAGGGCTGTTTGCATGTCGGGGTGGAGGGCGCGGGGCTGGAAAAACAAACAGGGCCGGGGCGCGGAGCCTCGGGTGGGGGCCGCGGGGGGCTGGAAGGAAGTGCGCAGTGTGGCCAGAGCGCGAACAAAGCCCTCTCGGGAGCCCCGTCACCCCTCGGTGACCCCAGGCCCGCCCTGCTGAGCCGCGGGGCTCCTGGGCCTCGCCTCCGAGCAGGCCGCACCGCTCCGCGGGCGCACGCCAGGCCTCCGCGGCCGCCGGGGCCAGTGCTCCCCTGCGTCCCCGCAGGCCGAGCCCGCGGCCCGCCCCGAAGGCGCGAGGGACAGCGAGCGGGCGGTGGAGCCTCACCCAGCCACGGAGCCCACAGAGCGAGGCTGAGGAGGACTCCAGGCTGCTGTCCGTCAGGAAACCGGGCGACTCTGTTGCGCGCTGGAGCCACAACTCTGCCAGCGGCCGGGGAGGGGCCAAGAGGACTTCCAAGTGGACGGAAGTGGGCGACCAACTTCGCCACGACGCCTGCTTCCTAGGGAAGGGCCTTGGCTGAGGCGGCGGGAAGGGGACTGTTGCAAACAGCTGTTCCTCATACATATTTCATTACACAATCAGATAATGCGTCCCACCACCTTCTCAATTATTCACAGATAAACATTTTCAAGACGTTTTGACATCTGTCTTAGTGCCTGCTATTAATTTAGTAATCACTGTAGTTAAAAATGTATGGGATTTTTGCCGTCGGAGCACCTCCTATCCGGCGCGCGGGCCCAGTGTGGGACTGCGGCTGGGACCCCGGGCCCTCCGGGAGTGAAGACACCTTTGGAGGTGAGACGGCCTCTCTAGCGCGTTGACACTGTTGATGGAAGGGATTAAAGGGGTATCAGGTTATTTTAATTTATTGTTGAAGATTATGACTGTCCCCTCCCCCACCCACCCACCCTCCTCACGTTCCCACCCCAGCCCTAGACCCGACAACACCGTTCAGCCCTTTGCCCCGGGCAGCGGAAATGGTTAGCTTCATCTAGGAGTTTCTGCTCAGGAAGACGCAGGCAACCCTGGTCCGCGTAGAGAGAGAACCGCACGCAATCACTGAGCACGATTTCCCCCAACAAAAATACTAACAGTAACAGCGATCCACACACTCAAGAGGTCTCCAACCTCCGAAGTTTTGCCCTGAGCCTGTGGCCCTGGCAGAGGTGACAAGGGCATTTGGGAAAAACAGAAATAAATTCGCTCCAGTGACTGTACACGGGGCATTTGGGGCTATGAGAAAACTAGCTGCTTTTCTGCTTGAGTGGTAAATGTTGCAACGGGCATAGCTATGTAGACGCAAACCGTTTTTAAAACCAAAGAAGCAGAGTTGGAAGAACCTTGTATGGTTGAAAATAATAGCAAACATTTCCAACTTCAACATGCTGAGATGAATTATTGGGAAAGCTGTAGATAAATGACCAAAACAGAGGGCAAATGCTCAAAGGTAAACGAGTTTGTTTTTTTGTGCTCTGAATCTCAGCTACCGGGAATAAAAGTTACACTGAGTTTGAGAGTGATGTCTATTTATTTATCTTCCTTTCTGTCGCAGTCTCTTTCCCAGGTGAGTTAGTAGGTGGACTTTGATTTTTAAAACTATCTCATTTGGGAACGAGGAAAAACAAATCTGGTGAAAGAATGTCTCTGTAAGAAACTGCCCTTCCAACGAAGATTAAGTGACTCCAAAGTGATTTTCACCCTTTATTGTTCAAAACGTCCACAAGAACAAACTCGCTAAAATTTCCAGGAATTAACTGTATCTAAAAAAGAAAAGGACCTAGTGTTTGCCCCCAAAAGAGAAGAAATTCTTCCCAACTCGCACCCCGATAGTCTTCTGTTTCTAGGGCAACTACATCTGCAGAAACATGTCCTCCTGTGGCGTTTTCCGGGTGGTTCATTTCTTCTTCACAAAATGGACCCTCCTCTGCCCCTTGGAGGGTGGTCATCCGACTTGCTGGCCCAGAAAGTTCTTTTTTCCTCCTCCTTTGTCTAGATGAATCTTCTCGGACTTACACTCCACTTTAGACGAGAGAGGGAGGCTCAGAACATGTGCTCAAAAGAGAGAAAGTTGGGAAGGGAGGTGAAGTGGAAGGGAGGGCACCCCTGCTCCAGGGGTGCCTCTTCTACAGGAATCCTGTAGGTAGCCACTAGAACTGGTTAGGCAGGGGGAGCTCACGCTAAAATCAAGCCTGCCTAGAGTAGTTTCCCAGGACTCGCCCAAGAGCCCCTCTGGAAACCCCTCTCTGCAACCCTCCAGCTCCACTGTGAAAACGTGCTCAGCCACAGACAGCGCAACCGGGGGTGAGAACTTCCCCATATATCACACACACAAAATGTTTTTAAATAAACTATGTAATTTGGTTTACTTTGAAGTGTGTTCTTTTGTAAACGTATTTGATATACAGGATATTGGGATGAAGATGGGGGCAGGAGGGCGAGCATCCTTTTGAATGATCAAGTTTAGGATAAGAAGGGTGCAAGGGGCAAAATAAGGGCCCTCCACCTTCTCAGGCCACGGTTAGAGCTAAATGTTCCCATAAAGAATTATGAATCTCCCAGTAGTGAGTGAGAACTTGTATGCACTCCACCCAAATCCTCCTTAAGAATGCAATCCTCTAAGTAAAAAATCTTAAGAAGTAAACAATAAAAACAATCTCGGTCAAAATGAATCATTCCCGGATGGCCCTTTTCTGGGTATCTCCAACAGAGCTGAGAGGAAGGCAAAAAGGTTGCCTCTGGGTGGATGAGGCCTTGCTTCTTTCTAGTGGCCAAGACTTGACCTGAAACCTTTCATTCACCCAGTCGGCTCAACAAAGTTTCTCCCTCCGAGCCAACGTCCCTCTAGCAGGAAGCCCCCTTGGCCTTGCGGCCGGCCGGCGTCCTCATTGGACCGGCTCTCCCCGGTCGCGGCTTCCTATCTATCTGCCCATGTGGTTGGGGTCACTCCTCGCGGGCACTGTGACTTTTGTCTGCGTCTGGACAACTGAATGTGCACCCGTGCGTTCAAATAATTATGCCCGTGGACACTTCTTTATTCCTCAAATTCTTCTGTTAGTGTTCCTTTAATTCTCCCGTATGTATTCGAGTACGATTGCCTGTATGTTCCATGCATAGTCAGGTGACTCAGCTTGAGTCTGAGCTCATATGTGCGCGACCCCCTGGGTCTACATGGGGAGGAGGAGGAGGAGGTGTGCACGTGCAAACGCGGGACTTTGGGTGGAGTGTGAGGTTGACACGGCTTTCGGCCCCAGGGCGCTCTAGACCTCTTTTAAATACCTTCATCAGCCCAATTTCTTAACCTTTCGGGACAAGGAGCGATCCTGCGCCCCGTCATTCTTTGGGAAAGATAGGACCATCCTCTAGGACCTCTCCTGGTGAACCGTGGCTGGGCTGGGCTGAATGGGCGGTCGGTGGTCTCGAAGTCGCCTCCTGGCTCTCGACTGCACCCATCACCCAAGCCACCTCGAGGTTGAATGAGCCCTGGGGCTCTGTCTGGGGGAGGTCGTGGCGTCTCGGGGCGAGTGGTATACACGTTTTGGGGCAAAACTCTCCTTGGCCTCCCAGGAGCAGCTGTAACTTGGAATTGGCCTGGGCCCGCCTCCCTTGGCCCCTCCTCCAGCCCCTACCGCAACACGCAGCGCTCAGCTGGCCGCCCGAGCTCGCGTCCCGGACCACCCCCAAGCACCCTGGGGCCTCGTCATCCTTCAGGGTCCCTGGGGCATCCTAGGGGCCTAAACCTGGAAGAATGGGGGCCAACAAGAGTGGCCAGGAATTTCCTGGGGTGGTTTTGCGATGTATTCCTCAGCTCAGAATTAGCCTTTCGGTCCCGCGCGCCTACCTGTTTCAGAGGCCAGCGGGAACGGGTCTGTGGGGGTGAGGCTTGTGGTGTGTGTACACGTGTTCGCGTGCGACTGGAAGCGGTTCCTTGTGCATTCCTAGAATCTTGTAGATGTGTTTTCTCGTGAGAATGATGCGAACTTGCTGCTAACCTCAGATCAGTTTGTTTGGAAAGGGAGAAAGTCAGTACGACGGTCGGTGGTTGTGTCCTCAGGTCCCTGAGGCCTGGAGGGCTGAGGCCCTGGCTGTGCGCCCTGGTGCTCTGATTCTAAGGCCCAAGCTGCCCCGATGTCCACTAAGGGTCAGGCTGAAAAACCTACGTAGGAAAGAGGGACCTGGAGAGCTACTCCCACATCCATGGCAGGGTGGAGTCCCGACCTTGGCATATTGGACCTACCCACTTGGCATCTCCCTGCCGACCCCGTCTGGAATCCGTATTGGTAGTGACGGGGGAGGGCGGAATGGTGAGGGAGTTGGGTCGGTACAGGACGGAAGTGAAGATGGAAAGAGAAGAAAAAGAAACAAAACTGGCTAGGGACAAGGAGATGGGTGAGGCTGGGGTAAGGATGGAATTGGAGCTGCCTCGGAGAGCAGCGGCTTTTCACCCTGCTATAGGGAGGTGCGTTTGGCTGCGCTGTTCTTCCCCCCCCCCACTCCCGCCAAATAAAGCTAATGATGTAGTAATTTAGGAGGGGGAGAGGGGCTGGGCAAAAGGAGAGAGGGGAGAGGATGGGGAAACGCGCGCCCCAAGAGCGAAAGCAAACAGCTGTGGAGGCGCTGCCCGCGGCTCAGGCTTCCCAACAGGTTAGCTATACTGGGATCCACCCGGCAGTTCGCAGGAAGGGGGAGGGGGGCAGACAGAGCGAGAGGGGGAGAGAGCCTCACTAGAGGACAGAGGGAGGGAGGGAAAGAGAGATAGGAGCCAGAGAGCGCACCGCGCGGCTTAAAAGGAGAGACATACTAATGAATATTTATCCGCCGCTGCTTCGTGCTCCCGGCTTCCCTTACCTTTCCGCAGGTAAGATCCTCCCCTTGCCCCAGCCCCGGGGACCCTCCTAGCTCCCCAATCGGGGAGCCCATGGCTGGGCGGGAGGGCTTTCGGAGGAGGGAGGGCGGCTTTACTCTGCATGCACTTTGGATGCCCGGGCATGCGACCCTGCACGACTAGGAACCGCGTGCGTGGGCTCCCTGTGTGGAATGAGTGTGAGCATGTGAGAGAGAGAGAGAGAGAGAGAGAGAGTGTGTGTGTGTGTGTGTGTGTGTCTGTGTGTGAAAAGAGACAGAGAGACTATGCGCCCGCAAGCGCGCGCGCGTTTCTGGCGTTCTCTGGGAACATTTCCCGACTTTTCACTCGGACGCCCTGGATTTCTCCCCTTTGCCTTTCTGTTTCCCCTCCCCCTTCTCTCGCCCTCCCCTCCCCCACCCCGATTTACCCCACCCTACCCCACTCCTGCCCCGGCTGCTAAGGCGCTCTCTTGCCGGCTATTGTACGGCTGGCGCGGGCTCCCCCGGGCCGCATCCCGGGCCTCTCATAAAAGATGAATAGTTCTGTTTCCGCCGTAAACCCCCACACAAAGACTGCCCGGCCACCGGGTCCCACATCCCCCTTCCTGGGGACTTCGGCTTTTGAGGTGCTGCGGCGCCTTCTTTCTCCCTCCGCCTCTCAGGACGCCAGGGCCCAGACCAAAGAGCTAAGAGTGATCGAGACTTGGAGGTACTGGGTGTAACTCCTTGGGGGCCGCCTGCCAGGCCTCCTGGGCTGCAACCCCGAACCCAAAGACCCCCAGGGGAAGGGCGCCTCTTCCCTTACCGCCACCTCAGGCGTCGCATGCGGGAGGAGCAAGGGGAATCCGGGCCAGCAGAAGGGGAAAGAGGGAGGAGAAAAAGGAAAAGGTCGGGGAGGGGCTGACCATATAAACAGAATTCTTTAAAAGGACTTACCGGCCACCTGTTGAGAATCCCTTTGGGGTCCGCAGGCTCCGGAGTTGCGCAAGGTGGACACACAAAACCAAAAGCCAAAGTTGGCAAAAGAAAATTCTTTCTCTGATCATGCCAGACGCGGCCGGTCAGGCTCGCAGCTCCGCGCTCGGATCAGGCGGCTGTACAGCCAAGACAGACTTTGCCCTGTTCCCCGATGCCCCCCTCATCCCACGCCTCCACGGGACTCGGGACTCAGAGCTCGCGGACTCGGCGCTCAGGGCCCAGCACCAGCATGTCGGCTTAAGCCGGGGCAGGCTCCCTAAGCCCTGCTCAGAAGTCAAGAGCAGCAGCGCTGCCGCTTCTCGCAGCCTTTCATGCCGCGGCCGCTCCTTATTCTTGTGTCTCGGCCTCTCCCGGCCCCCTCGGACAAAACCCCAGAGCCCGGCCACTCTCTTCCCTCTAAATCCCCTTTGGGGTCAGTGTTCTACCAGCACCGGGCCGCGCGCCTCTCCCGCCAGCCGTGTGGTTCTTAAAGAGCCGCACCCCTCCTCCGCCCTGCGCGATCCCCCGACCCCCGCCTCCCCTCCCCTCTCCTCCCGATCTAGCCCCCCACACCGACGCCTGAGGTCCCTGCTGCCCCGACCGTTGCCTGCGGACTCCGAGCCCCCTCCCTTCGCCTCCTCCCCTGAGCAGCCGGTGGGCCTGGCCTCGAGGCCACAGGGCTGAGTTCTACCCTCGCCTCAGGTCCCCTTTCTCACCAGCAGTGCCCACCCCTCCCTTCCCTGTCTTTACTTTAGCCCTCTAGGTGGATCAAGGCCCGGGCACCGCCTTTGCCCAGCTCAGAGGTGATGCCTGAAGATTGCCAGTTTCGGGTTGAGTTAGGGGTTATGGGATGGGAAATGGGGCAGGGCACGCTAGTGGAGCTGGGGAGAGAGAAAGGAAGAGAAGCAAACCAGATGGACTTGGAGGGCTCTCTCGATCCCAGGGCCAACCTGGCCTTTTGGCTCCTTCCCACGACCTCCGGGAGATGCTTACCCTGGAATGGGGTCCTGAGGTTACCAACCTGACTAGGCCCACTGTGTGTCTCAGGGATTCTGGGCGTGTGTGTTGGGGGTGGGGGTGGGGTCCAGAAAGTCCTGAGTGTGGATCTGGCAGCAGCCTGCTTCCCAAGCCCATAGCATCAATTCCCCCCAAAAGTAACCCTTAAGGGCCCAAGAGCTGGGTAAGCAAGGAGGGAGTGAGGGACCTTGAGCTCCAACTGTCCAGGGAAAAGGGCATCAGAGGAGAGGAGAGACAGAAAGGGAAGTCCTCCTGAGAACTCAAGCACAGTTTCTAAGAGGGTGTCTTACATTTACTGGCCAGCCATGTCAGCTGCCCCACTAAGAAAAGGCGAAGTAGATGACTGCTTCGGTTTCCCTTCCTTCCAGAACTCTGGCTCTCTGCCTCTCTGCCAGGCTGCCAGGCCAGTCTTGCAGGGTGGTCCTTCCTAAAGCACTTTCTTCAGGCCTCCCAGGGACTAGAAGCCAGAGAAGGGATCCCTCTGCTGAGGGGGAATGCAGGACAGGCTGTGGTCCCTGTCTTCCCTACTGCCACCTGTTATAACCTGTGCCTGGGCTCTGTGGATGGTGGAGGCAATGATGGGTTAGGGAGGGGAGCTGCCCACCCTTTCTCAAATCCAAGTCCTGGTACACCAGGTCTGGCTGTTCAGAAGGGGATCCTTGGGAAACAGCGTGTGGCCTCTGGGCAGAGGAAACCAAGGGAACTTGAGGTGGCAGGAGGATGGAAGGCTGATCCTCAAGCACCTCAACATTAGTCCAGATTCACCTTTAAGGAACTGGAGTAACTAATTGATTTGCAATTGGTCCTCTTGGGAGAAGTTGGCAGTGCACTCCCTGGGCTGGATCCTGAGGCAGCAATAGCCTCTCCCTCCACTGCCATCCCCACCCCCCCACCAGTCTGGCTCACATCTCCCAAGTCTTCAGCCCCTCTCTTGGGGCTGGGTCACCGCAGGCAACTAGGCTGGGTGTGTGCCCACCCTCTTGGGCCTGGCAGTGGGAGGTGCTGTGGTTCAAGACGAAGCCAAACTTCACTTGTTTGAGAATGTGGGGGGTGGAGGGGCCTTTAGCGGGCGGCGGGGCTCATTAGGCAGAGCAGGGTGCCGAGAGGTGCGCGCCACTGGCCCCGAGGCCGTCTTTGAGCCGTCCGGGCGGCTTCATTAAGCTGCGCTAACAAGGCGTACAAATGCCGGGCCCAGCAGCTTTCTTGCAATGCCCGACCTTAGCAGGGCGCCGGACTAATGAGGGTCACTCAAAGGGGCTGATCAAATATTCAAATTTCCCCGCACGCCAGGAACTTTTATGCAGGGAGAAAGTTGAGGCAACTGAGCTGTGTTTACTGTCCAGGGCGACAATTGCTTGGAGCGCCAGTCCCCCGAGGCTAAGGCGGGGGGCGGGGGTGCGGGGAGAGAGCAGTTGTTGTTGTTGTTTTTCAAAGGAAAGTAATCGGGGTCCTTGAAGGGTTTCGCTGCCTCCCCGCCTGCGTGCTGCGCTCCCCTGAGCCCTCCCCGGCCGCCCGCGCCGAGTGCCTCAGTTTGCAGCTTGTGGGGAGGCCCAGACTGTGGGCCACCCGGCCAGCCCCCGCCTCCGGACGTCCTGGGAGCCGGAAGGGGCGTTGCCCCCACATTGCAAACCATCCCCAGGCCTCCTGGGTCTGCCGTTTAGAGCCGAGCGAGGCCAAGTAGGTGCAGCTGGCCCAGCCCTTCGGATCCTCCTCTCCCGGAGGCCTGCAGACCGGTTGGCTTTCCCTGTAACCCAAAACAAGAAGAGAGTGGGCTACTTCTCGGGCTTTCTCCAGATGTGGTTGAGACTTTCCCAATGCTGGGGTTGCGGCTGACATTTGTAAACAAATGTCCTGTGGGTCCGGATACAAAGAGAACACTCTCTAAACCCCAAAGACGTCTCTTCTCCCTGTCCCACCTGAAGGCGATCTTTTCGATCTCTGGGGCCAGGATTGAAGTGGGGACCACGACAGCGAATTTGTTCTGTACAGGTGACTAGGCCTGTACTGGCGCCAAGTCCCAGATCCCGCAGTCAGAGCGGCCAGAAAGCAGAGACCTAGGGGCTCTGCAAGCTGACCTCTGCACCCGAGTATTTCCGTTCTGGGCGACCCAGGGTGCAGGCGCCCTCCGCGCGCCACCTCCTCTAGCAGTCCCCCAGGGTCCCTTCCCAGTTCTCTCACTGGGCTTGCTCGGTTCCCAGAACAGCAAGGAAGGCAACCTGGGCCCTGGAACCCAAGGTCCCTGAGCTCCTGCTCCCCTCCCCAGTGCCCAGCGCCTGGGAATTTGGGAGGGGGAGCTCTGGTGCTCCACAGCCCTGCTTCCTACCCAAACACACACTCAGAATCCCTCGACTGAGACCCTACGGAGCCTGCGCCTCCAGCCCGACCGGGAGCCAGTCCGGCCCTCGGTGCTGGGACCAGCTGCCCCGCCTCCCTGCCCTGCTCTCGGTTCTCTCAACTTACCGGCTCCAGGCGGTGGGAGTAGAGCTTCAGTCCAGAGCCGAGAGGCGCTAGCGACGGCTGGACTGCGAGGTGGGCTCGGTGTGCGGCGCCGAGCTCGGCTCTGCTGGGAGGCTTGGACAGCTGGGGGCTGCCACCCGCCCCACCGGGTCCCGGTGCACAAAGCAGCACGCCTCGCCGCAGCTCTGTGCCCTACTTCGCGCTCCGGAGCCGCGGCCGCCACCCGAACAGGCAGGGTGCAGCAGGGCGGCTGACGCTGGGGCAGAGGCTGGAAGGCGGGGGTGTCGCCAGAGTCTCAGCCCCACTTGCCTCAGTTCTCCCTGAGTGGCGATGGTTTTTTATTTCAGCGCTTTCGGCAGAGCCCGCAGCACCTGCGCAGCCTCCCTCCGGGGCTGGCCCGGCGGCGGCTGGGAGAGGCCAGGTCGCCCCCACCCGGAGGCGGGGGTTGCGGGGATGGGGAGGGGACTGACTGGGTTCACCCGCCCGCCCGGCGCCGGGGTCCACGGCTCCGGGGGATGCAGTTTCGGGGTCACGAGCTGCTTTCAAAAAGTTGAACACAATATTCGGAAACCCACCCGTAGGAATTCTCCCCCTACACGCGGTACAATACCCACTCCCCTCCCCTTTTTCATTCCTTCCTCCCCCGCTTCCTCCTCCTGCCCCTTCCCCCTCCCACCCTTCAGCCTATAATCCTTCCCCTACCAGAGAAAGGGATCGGGAAGAAAACGTGAAGTGTCTGTTTTTGTGTCCCAACCTTTGGGCTCTTTCTGGGCCCTCAGTGACCGACCACCCAGAGCTTCTCAGCTGAGTGGAGGACTCACGGCCAGGAGGAAAGGAAATATATACGGAGTGGAGAGAGCCCTCAAATGGGGCTGGGCAGATCTTCCCTTTGGAGGAATATTTTTCTGTCCCAGTCGTCGCGTTTAAGATCTGCTACCCCACGGCTGCCTCTGGCCAAGTGAGCCAGTGTGGGCCCTTCGCCGGATCCAGAGCCTCCCTGCCACCCCGAAGCCTCCGAGGAGGTTTGCACTTCCCGGCTTGCTCTTCTCCCCGGCCCTCAGAGGCCTGGCACTGCGGGAGTCGGGCCTAAGCAGGGCTCCGGCTCGGGGTTTAGGGGCTGGGACACTCGTAGCCCCAGTCACGTTGGGTTTCCCATTTAAATTCTCTCTCAACCTCTCTTTCTCTTTCCTCATTGAGATCACCAAAGTGGTGTGGACCCGGCGCCTTGCCCCCAGATCTGCATCGGAATGCAGAAAAGATCTTTAAAAAAAAAAAAAAAGTTTTGAATTCCTCAATGATTTTTCTTCTGGAAAGGCAGCTTAGGATAATTATTTCAGCTTTATTGAGGGCAGATTAGTTGAAGTCTGGGCGCTGCGTTTCAATACGCGTTGTACACGGGCCGACAATGTGGTCATTGTTGGCTACTGTGTGTGAATCCATTCAACATATACACTTTTTAACACCAAACCGAGTCCTGTCTAAATATACACAGTGCTCAGGGAAAGACGTCTCTGACCCCGACAAATCTGCGTAAATCACACTTCCATAGTTACAGAAGCCTCACAAAGGGAGGCCCGACTCAAGATGCTGATTACATCTTCTTAAAAGCAACATACCTAAGAATAAATACCCATGCCTGGCCTGGGGGCTCTGGTAGCCAGAGGCAGAGAGGGCCCGCTGTGTTCTATGGGCCTTTTGGGGTCTGTTTTAGGCTTTCGATGTTACTTTCTCTAGAGAAATTAGACAGTTTTAGAATAATAATAGTAATTATTATTATTTTACAATACGAGCAAACAATCAATTTTCAGGCCTTATCCACTTCATCCGGGTGGCTGGCCTCCAAAGTTTGAGTGCCCTCTGGGGCTGACAGGCAGGACCAGAGCTCCTTCTGTTGTGTGGTGAGGAGTGGGCATCTGTGGGGCTCTTCCAGGTCCAGAGGGCTCTTGAGCTTCTTCGCTCCCGCAGCACCACCACCACTCCTCAGAGAGGCAGCTGAATTCTGGGAGGAAACAAAGAGTTGAGTTGCTTCTTAAGATGGAAAGAAGTGTACTGTTTGGACTGTTATTTTAAAATACAGGGTGGTGGGGGCAATCCAGGCTTCTTGGCTGGAGAGGGAATAAAGAGAAACCTAACTGATGAGGAGGGAGTTGAGGTGAATTTGGTCCATGGGCACAGATGGGGGAGGCAAGAGCAGCCTCCAGCACCCTGGGAACTGGGCTCAGGCTGCCTGGCGCCAGGTGCCCCCGGAGTCCGGGATCCCTGGCTGGCGCCAAGGCCCGCTGGGCCAAGGTCGGTGTTTGGTGGGCCCCATGATCTCATCTCCCCTTTCTTCCTTGCCACTATTAGTGCTCACATAGGCAGAAAGAGGCGGCCCGACGTGCACACCATGTGCAAACCGTGCCCGCTGGGCTGGTCAGCCTTCTCTCCTTGCCTGCCGACCTGGCCTATGTGAAGCTTGGGAGACCCTCTTGCCTCCCAACAAAATCCCCGCTCTAATTGCATATCCCATTCAACAATTCTGTGCCCAGGGCTTTTTGAATTTCTGGATCAACTTCTTTGAGGAAAAGGGAAGAAGAAGGCTCAGAGACAGCGGTAGAGAAAAGAGGAGAGGGAGGGAGAAGAGAAAAAAGAGAGAGGAGGGAGAAGTAGCGAGATTAAGAGTTGCAAAGATTTAAAAAAAATTCTCTTCACTCCCCTCTTCTCCCTCCTTCCCTGCTCTCTCTCTCCCCCCGCCCTCTGGCTAAGTGGTAAAACCGTCCTTACGTTCTCGGTATTGATTGGCAGGGCTGACAGTGATTGGCAGTGGTTACCGTGGCAACACCACAACGACACGCCACAGACCAATAGAAAAGCGAAACAAAATGTTTCAATGCTGCACTCACTGTGGATTTAGGGGAGATATTATGAGGCTGTTGTCATTAGGGCGATTGCGGTGGAATCGCTGAATCTTGACTCGGCGGTGGTTGGCTCTCCCTCTCCTCTCTCCCTCTCCCTCTCTGTCTCTGGTTCTCTCTCTGCGCGCGCGCACCGGGCTGCTCTCCTTCCTCCCTCTCTATGTGGCTGCGCGGGTGTGTGTGTGTGTGGATGTGTGTGGGGTGTGGGTGTCCCTTACGCCCTTCCTCCTCCCCCTCCTCCTCCTGCTCCCCCCTCCTTTCCTTCTCCTCCTCCCCCCTCTCCTCTCCCTCCTCCTGGTCCTCATCGCCCCTCTCCTCCTCTTCCTCCCCTCTCTCTTCCTCTCCCTGAATTTTCTCCTCTCCTCTCAGGTCAGTCCATGGTATTCCGCTCCCCCCTAGACCTCTATTCCTCCCACTTCTTGTTGCCAAACTTCGCCGATTCTCACCACCGCTCCATACTTCTGGCGAGTAGCGGCGGCGGGAACTGTGCGGGAGGCGGCGGCGGCGCGGGAGGCTGCAGCGGCGGCGGGAACGTTGCGGGAGGCGGCGGTGCTGGCGGAGCAGGCGGCAGCGGCGGCGGCTCCAGGGCCCCCCCGGAAGAGTTGTCCATGTTCCAGCTGCCCACCCTCAACTTCTCGCCGGAGCAGGTGGCCAGCGTCTGTGAGACGCTGGAGGAGACGGGCGACATCGAGCGGCTGGGCCGCTTCCTCTGGTCGCTGCCCGTGGCCCCCGGGGCGTGCGAGGCCATCAACAAACACGAGTCGATCCTGCGCGCGCGCGCCGTGGTCGCCTTCCACACGGGCAACTTCCGCGACCTCTACCACATCCTGGAGAACCACAAGTTCACCAAGGAGTCTCACGGCAAGCTGCAGGCCATGTGGCTCGAGGCGCACTACCAGGAGGCCGAGAAGCTGCGCGGCCGCCCACTCGGCCCGGTGGACAAGTACCGCGTGCGCAAGAAGTTCCCGCTGCCGCGCACCATCTGGGACGGCGAGCAGAAGACGCATTGCTTCAAGGAGCGGACTCGGAGCCTGCTGCGGGAGTGGTACCTGCAGGACCCCTACCCCAACCCCAGCAAGAAACGCGAACTGGCTCAGGCCACCGGCCTCACTCCCACACAAGTAGGCAACTGGTTTAAGAACCGGCGGCAGCGCGACCGCGCCGCGGCGGCCAAGAACAGGTTAGTCGCGGGGCCCGCGGCCTGGCTACAGCCTCAGAGGCCGGGGAAAGGGAGAGGGGTTGAGATGGGGCTAGCGGAGCGGCCGCCGAGAGCCAGAGAAGCCGTTATTACCGGCCAGTAGGAGAAAGTTTCCGCTTGCCCGGGACGCGAGGAAGAGGGGGTGGGCGGGCTGTGGGTGTATTGGTTGCTTTGCCCAACAGGGGCTTCCTTCAGGGCGGAGAGTGTGTGCGTGCGACCCGAGTGCCCGCAGCTCCTGATCCAGGCCCCTGGGAACCTTCGCCCTGAGCGGCACCGGTGCCTGCCTCCTCAGCCCTGCTGCCAGCTAGGCGATCCTCTGGAGCCTAGAGACAGGGAGGGAAGGAAAGCACTCCTTGACATCTGGTTCTTATTTCTGTGCATTGCAAAACCCCGAGAGAAATCCACGAGCGTCAGGGAGAGGAAAGTGAGCCCGGGTCCGTATCACAAGGGAAAAAAGACGAAGGCCACTGCGCATCGGGCCTCTTCCTCTCCCCCGCCTCCCCCCCCGCCCGCCACCTCCTCCACAACGCTGCACGTAGCCTGATCTGGAGCTGGAGAGCCGGGGCTGGGAGTGGAGAGGCCTAGTGTGTGTGTGTGTGTGTGTGTGTGTGCGCGCGCGTGTGCGCGCCTGTGCATGTACTGGCCCTCCTGCCCCAGCCGAAGAGAATCCCTTAGGTCCTCTAAGTTGGGAAGAGGGCAGGAGTAGCCTCGCTGCCGGCAAGTTGGTCACAAAGTCACAAAGTTGTGTAGGGCTTGACCATCACAGGAGCTGGGCCTGGGGGAAGGAGAAGAACCAGAGGGAAAGAAGGGGATAGAGGAAAGGATTGGGGAGAGAAGGGAGAAGGAAGAGAGGAAGCTGGGTGAAAGCCCTGGTGTGGAGCCTATGTCTCTATCCAGCCAGGAAGGCCCAGGGCCTGGTGTACCTCAGGGAGCAGGGCCCCCAGCGGCTGACAGCTGCCTGTGGGTGGGGGCCGGGTGTGAGTTTCTGGAGGTGTGTTTGAGTTTAGGCGGCCCAGACCTGAGTCCATGGCCCTCTCCCCCACTGCATTGGAGCTCACTCTTCGTCTGATGAGGGGAGCGCCCAGGGTCAAGCCAAGGCCTCCTTCTGGAGAGCATTCCAGATACCAGGTCCAGGCAGAAGGTTCCCGGTGAGGGAAAGGGCAGCTGGAGACTGCTCAATGCTCCTCGCTTGCCTTCTCCTTTGCCCCTTTTCTGTCTCCCTCCCTTTCCCCACTTTTCCTCCGCCAGCTTTTCTATTTTCTCTACCCCCGGTCCTGCGCTCTCCGCTAGGATCCAGAGAGCAAAGCCTGCGGTTCTACCCGGAGACCCGCCGGGCAGTGAGGAACCCGCAGCTTTGGCTGTGTGTTTGAGGGAGCAGAGACAGGGTTACTGAGGGAACTCGACCGGTCCCAGGCCAGCCGGCTCAGTCTGAAGAGCCCCAGGGACTGCGGAGGGAAGAAGCGCCTGGCTCCTCTGACTTCTGCTTCTCCAGGGCGTGGCGTACTTTGCCGCTGACATCCAGGCC